TTGTATCTGTGATCTCCACGCCTTTCACCGGGGTTCATGTTACAACGTGCAATTCGATTGTTTGGCGAGATGACACACTATCGCAAGACATTGTTTCTGGAAGGTGTCACGTTTCTTCCGCGTGCAACAAACTCACAGCAACACAATTGGGTGTTGTTTTAGAGTTGGGTGTATTTAAAGTAAAGGTTATTTCATGCTGAAAATGCTTAATTATACTAACACCAATTCACATGGTACTGCTGAAAATCTTAACAATATGTAACCTTTTAAAAACAACACACATGCCAAGCTCACAAAAAGATTACGAGTGGGGTTACAACGCATGGGATTCAACCGATCAAAGTTCCTGATTTGAAGACCGTAAACATCACAACTTTTTCAAATAATTCATGTTTTACTGCAACATAAATTTTTAAAATGCCATCTCTTTTACACCCCCCCCCCCATCAACAATCAGAGCCTTAAAACATGTAAGGTTTGCACAAATACCAAACATAAGTACTTAGCTGCATAGATTAGTAGAAACAAGGTTTTAAAGCTATCATAGTAGGAACCATTTCATTACAACAGGCTATTATAATCTCTTTGCCATATTTAAAATCACTGTGGTAGGAAGCATTCGACCTGTGCATGTCACGTACCACAACACTCCACACACGCGCACGCAACACTGCTGACATTACAAACGGGGGTTGATGGGAAGGGGTTAACGATCAATGGGCGCACAATTAAAAATCGACCGTCTCCTCGTCTACAATTTGGCAGCCCGACTCACGACAGGTACCAATGGGCCGTAAGGTTTCCGTCGAAAACCAGAAGCGGAGGCCGCGCACACTATCTTTCGGAGCGACGACCAGCTGCGCAACCTCCGGCATCGCTGCCGAGACCTGGGGGGGGGGGGCGAGCTAAATTTACGGAGCAAACTGCCGCCCTCGCCCACCGTGGGCAATGCGGGGGTGGAGTGAACGAAAAAAACCTGTCTCCCATGACAGCTGCCCGTGTGATAGCCAGAGCTCGATGTTAAACAGGGCCTCTTAGGCACGAAACCCACTGCTGTAACACAATGTTGGGAAGAGGTGGGAAAAAAAACCCCATCCAGCTCAACACGAGGCTTGATGAATAGCTGAGTGGAGCCCAACAGTTTGTTGTTTGATGCAATAAACTAATACATTTATTTGATCGTGAAATATATAATACCAATTCTGGTATGAAAAATAAACAATATGGATTCTGAAGACCACAAGAAAACTTAGCTTGCAGAACGCAAAATCGCCTTCATTTGCAGTAAAAGGAGCCGTGTAAATAGAATGTAAACTCTTGTTTCATGCTTTTTTTCGCCTATGTGAATTTCACAATATAGACATTGTGGTGAAAACCATATCTTGTTTCAAGGCTTACAAACTGTGTACATATTCTGATTGTGACTGTGCAATGAGGCAGCATGAAGCGAACACAATCCTTGTTCAAGACAATAGAGCAGAGCTTAACAATCCCTCGCCTTGTATTCTTTGAACTATCTGAACAAAATCCATGCTTGTACTCAAAACAAGATAGGTTTTGATACGACCCCCTGACCAAACAGTGTAAAGAGCATCCCTCTCAGCAAGTTTAACCCAACAGAGGCTGCACCTTGCAATGAGGTAACGATTACAAACCGAAGGCAAACACATCTCCAACACAAATTTACATAGTTAAGGCAATATCGTGGTGTTTTTTTGAATGAAGACCGAGGCATGCAGGTGTGGGGACCCCTTCAATTTCTCACTACTTTCCATGTATGGCTATATCGATGCTCACAGTATAAACAGTTAAAATAATGGCACGTGTGTGTGTGCAGGTAGATATCTAGGTGTGAAGGTTATTCAATGATACGCCACCAAGCAGGACATGATCGGGATTTAAACAGCACATATGGGATTCATGGGGACCTGAGGAGGTACACATCAGCCAATCCAGCGAGAAATACATCTGGATACGTCCGTGACCTCCCATTGGTAAGCCATAGTTAAGCTGCGACCTCCGTGAACCGCCCGTTACACGGTTTGCACCATCCCATAATGGTTTGTTCTGGAAATTAGTGGATGTGTCAAAATGTCACAAAATAGAGGTGTTTCCCCATACACCAAGGGTGGAATGAGGTTTGATTAATCAATATATTATTAAGCTCACAATACATGCACTGAAAAGTATATTCAATAAAGAATTTGTCTCGAGTTATATATATATTTTATGTAATGGGTTCGCATCACCCTTGCAGACACTGCTAACCATCCCTTATACCATTCACAAGATTATCAACTAAAAGATGATTGAATTCGAATTTCGAGAGCGGTAAAATATTTGAACTCCAGTCTAAAATTTGTCACATTTACACACAACACATGCTCTCAGTTTGCACTGCAAGATAACCCAGTCAACAAACTCATCAGTATAAGTGAATCGTCCACTTAAGAAGGCACACACCCACACAACTCATGGTATAGCACTAACAAAGGCCATATTTTAAATGTCTGTGCTATCATTACATAAACATTCAAAACTAGTATTTAATATATCACTACATAGAATCTCTGACATTTCAGCCCTTGATTGAAACGTTTCGATTCCGCCAAGACCAGCATTGGAAAAATAATCACCAATACAAAAATAAAACAGGACAACTTGCGTTAAAAAAAACTTTTCGGAAAAATATAAATTAATTTTACAATTAAGAGGTCTGGAAACATTACTCTAAATTGTATATTATTTAAACATATTTCATGTCACTAAACTAATTCAGGCCCATTTGGCAGGTGTGGCTGTCCCATCAAGTACTCCAGGTTGTGCATGGAGGTCTTTACTTAATTCTCCAAAATAAACAGTTTATTAAAATCAAATATTTAACCTGATTTCACCTAAATAGTAATCTTGAGTTATTGTCTAATTAAGCTTTGATTCTAAATAAACCCAATGACTAATGTAAAAACACATCTGTTGCCAGGATCAATACAAATATGAACTCCATCTTGTGCCTGCCTGGACCAAATGACAATGCTATGTAATGGAAGTGAATGCCAAAAGGGAATGCATGTATTAAAATATTTAGAGACGTGCATCACAAAGAATTTAGGTTCAGAATGTTTTGGTCTGTAAAACCGTTGAATACGTGAATAGTGTATGTCGAATCTGTGCCACCCTTCTCAGCTACATTTGGTATTGAACTGTAACTATTTTTCTTGGCATCTCTTAATTGCATATTCAATTGTTTTAATATTCCTATTTGGCATCATCAATACACATCTAATTTAAGGGTCAAAACATCTCGGCGAGAAACGTGAAAAAATACTACGCATGTTGAACTTCCAAGTGTACGTAGCCAATCGTACTGATCGGAAGTGTAATGTGCCTTCACGTGTGTAACATGCATTGTTATCGTGCGTTTTCTTATTAATCTCACACCTCATGTATTAATTGTTGCCGCTAAGTGGGTGAAGCGTCCTACGATAAATGTAGGATCTTTGAAAAAGGTGGCTGCCAAGTCTCCAAATACGTAGTGGTACTCATTTTATAGACTGCTGAGTGAGCTGTAAGTAGACTGGCCAGGATTTAAACTCCATGCGCTCAAAAAGAGAATGTCTACCAAATGAGCTGCAATATATTGACCTTAATATTCCATAGGCAATGCTCCACATACGCCCACTAAAATCGATACATTCTTACACTGATCCTACCAAAAGACAATCATCCACCAGATGATAATACATGAGTCTAACAATGATATTGAAGGTCCCGGCAAAATGTGTGATTTATAAAGTGGGCTAAATCAGGTGATTTTTATTTGTTCTTTGTACAACTAATGCGCAAAAACTAGGCAAGATCGTCTCATACAACACCAGGGTTTCAACCTACCGCCACTTAAGCTGTCAGTGCTGGAAGATTGGTTTTCATTGTGAGGCACTGCAAGCAAATACACAACCACACTTAATCTCTGATTGCACAATGCTAGTGGATTAACAGCATGGAGTGAGTTTTGTGTAATCACAAATGCCAAGAATGGTGTTCTGTCGTAATAATAAGTCACATAATTCGCCATGGGAATAAGGAACAAATTTTTAATTTATGTGGGCTAACGGAATTAACAGCTCTTATAGCCATAGAAACACTAGGCCATGATCTTGAGTTAAGCATCTTGAGATCAGGTTTCACTAGACCAGCTTTCAGGTCACTTTTGTTTATCGGTGTAGCAGCTTAAATATAATTCTGTGGTTCAGCCTGCCATTCTTAGATTTAATTACATACTTGTCTGGTCTAGCTGGTAAAAACATGGAATATATAAAATACTGATGTTCTTCAAGTCGGCAGGGTATGAAAATATGGCTATGTTAACACAACAATATAAGAAAGCAGGCCACTATCGTATGAAAGTGGAATTCCCACCACTGGCTCAGAATCACTTGCAGTGATAAGCACAAGTCCCATGCTCCAACGAGCATAAGACATTTCGAGTACACTGCATGTAGGCGCTTTATATACAAGCTGCCAGTTACTTCATCTGCTACTCAACGCAGTAATGTTAATATAAAACTGCTTGATTCTGTTATAAAATCCCAAGCTGCGAGCCTAAAATTCTGGTCTTTTGAAACCCAAGTTTCAAGCCCCTAAGTGGGCCAACGTTCCTGTGGCTTTAAGGTAAGACGCTTGCAGATATGTACCTAGACTGTGTGATACACTCTTGGCTTAGTTATAAATAAACATTATTTTATAATTATGGTCACTCAAGTCACAGCTTCCTAGTGATGTCATTGCATTGATGCAGTATTAAACTGTACATGGGTTGGCATCACAGATACATCACTAGGGCACTATCAATGGGAGTGCCAAATCACAATAACCATAGATTTCAAGTCGCTCATTAAAAAAAAAGTCTCAAAACTCATGTTGAACAACCGGGGACACACAGGCTAGGTGGTGCATCTACAAGATAATATCCATTGGCGTTTGAGTACGAGATCCCCTCCCCCCTCCCACCCCCCTCTCCCCCAGTGAAGCACCAGCGTCGCACACGCTATGTGCACGCTCAGGCGTGGTGCGTGCATGCGAGCGAGCGCTGGCACCAAGCGCTACGTGCGAACGCGCCGTTGGTCGTTGAACAGGCTGCGCAGCGTGTACACCTGCAGGCCAGCCACCACCACCAGCACCGCCATGCTGATCCCCGACCACAGGTTGACCATCTCGAAGTTGGTCTCCTGCAGTTTTCGGTCGCGGGCCTCGTAGACTCGCAGCACGGACTGCATCTGAATGCTTTTGCCGAGGCGGGTCTTTATGTTGTCCATGGTCTCCTGTGAAGGGAGAGAAGCAAAACGGCATTTGTTTATTGTAGGTATTCATAAGACGTTTTTTATTTAGTTAAATGGCGTTATTTATAAATGTGTTGTAACCCTCCACCACCCGACACGGCCAATCAGTAAAAAACAAGAAGTGTCACGTTGACAAAAGACAAATAGTTCACTACTTTAGCCCACCGGTGTGTTGAAGAGTGAATCCACAACATTTACAATTTTTGAGTACGACGTTTCGCTGGTAATTACATCCAGCATCATCGGGCCCGATCAGATATGCGGGGGAAGGACAACTAAACACAATAAGCATTTCAGTTTGTTGTTCTTCCCCCACACCTCCAATTAGCACGGTTATCTATGTACGGTGGGAAAGAAGTTGAACATACATAGAATTCTTATCTATCTTTGCCACCAGTCGTTTACACTTGTGCTTTCGGCAACAATATGTGTGGCAAGACATCAAATGGAAGTGTAATCCACATCATGGAAGCAAAGACTGATTTGTTAAATACTGGGGTGTTTATATTTATTGTAGGCAAGGCGGCTGTGAATTTAAAGTTGCTAATTGGACCCTTGGGCTCTGTGAAAATTTGGCGCCACCATGCGAGTTTAATTTTGGATCCCCAAACACAACTTCATCTCTACGCTCAAACATCCCAATCAAGCTTTTGACGTGTGCTTGTAAACCACGACCAATGCTGTTGATCGTCATGTTATTTATCTACGTCTTGTTTTTTTCATAAACAAAAGTTAATGTCAGACAGTCCTTGACACGTGACTTAGCATTGCATGTATAGAACAGCGGCAATGTTTTGTATTACAATTTCTTTCTTGAAGGCATCCACCACCCCACCTCCTCCCTCCTCACCTGCAAGTCCTCCAGCTTCATGTCAATAATTTCGTCAACCGCCACAAAGTCCTTCCACGCTGGCTTGTCGTCCTTCTCCACCTCCATGTTGTCCAAGATCACCTCGAAGAACACCACCTTCTCCGACACGTGGCTGAAGCTGTTGTCGAAGCAGAACATGTAGTCTCCGTCCTGCTTGGCCTCCACGCTGCGGAAAACACGCATGTCAGCCAGACTGCGGAGCACGAGTGTGTGTGCGTGTTCCGAAAGCATATACGATAAATATACGGCCTCAATTTTCAACATATCTTTCGAGTATTTATGCACGTGGAAGGCAAATGAAATACCGGGAGAAATCCATGCGTGCCCATGGGAAAATAGCCAAAAAAGGTAAATATGCCGTAGGTTAGCACTCTACTTGCCGCACTGCCTTCTACGAGCCATCACTTCGTAATGACGTATATCGATGTATGTATGTTGAACTTCTTTTGCACCACACGCAGCCAACCATGCTAATTGGAGGTTGGGGAAAGGACAACAACCTAAACACAAAAAGCAATTATAAAGAAATGAGTTTTCAATTTAGATTAAAAAGTGCAAAGCTCCAGTGGTTCCTAATATTGGAAGGAAGAGCGTTCCAGATAGCCGCAAAAGCAGATCTGAAAGCGCGCGATGTGGTGACCGTCTTTATCAGATGGTTAACCAAAATCCGCTGCGAGGATGATCGGAGTTTACGTGATGGTATTTGCTCCTTGACGAGATCAGCAAGGTATTGTGGTATATTTGTAGCAAGCACTGTGTGTGTAATGAGTGTGACCTTATAATGTATTCATTCAGCAACTGGAAGCCAATGCAGTTCAGTCAGCGCCGGACGGACATGGTCGGATCTTGCAGTACCCATCACGACACGTGCCAAAGAATATTGTACACGCTGCAGCTTATTATTGTGTAAATCGTGCTTGTTCCAAACATTGCCCTTAGGCAGTTTGACATGTAGAGTGGCTTTACAGAAGCACGGATGTATCCACTGCCATTCGAGCTTTCATTTAGCCAGCAGTCAGTGCTATTGACTTCACCACACTTGGCCATAACTTCCTTCCCTCTGCCAGTTCCTGAAAACTGTTGTACAGGTCCACTCGTATGGTGTCCACCACCTGGCTTTAGGTCTCCGCCCTACGGGTGCCCGTCCTCTGCCAGTCTTGTCACGAACCCTCCCATCACAACTTCCTCTTGGTGATAAGATCTACCACGCTTTCCTTTCACATCCTCTTCTGGATCTCCAAGTTGCTTAACCTACCCTGAGATCAAATCTGAGCACGCTCACTTGAATAACTCGAATCATGTCCGGGATATCAGCATTTCCTCGACTATCGATTGCAATACCAAGTATAGTTCGGTTGCAATTACAGGAGGTCTGGAAGTCAGGCGAATGATAAACTTAAAATGTGGAGGTCAGTGTTTGCTAATAAAGAATCAAATATTCAACATGGTCAGTTAACAACATGATGACAAACTGGCCCAAGTCTTCCCCCCTAAAAAAATGCTCTGGTACCACTGATGGCGTAGGATCACACGACGTGTGTGACCGAATAAAGGGGTCTTCATGTTGAAGATTGGAAGGACACCCTCGCTTTCATAAGTTCGTAAGAGTAGGTGTTCCGCACGAGACAGTGGTGACCTCTGGTGGTGAATGGGTGATGTGCAACACCTTTGGAGGCCTTCTGACTTCCTGTACTCGGCAAAGAGGACTTGTCCCGTTGGAGACGAGATTGAGAAGTCCACATCCATGCCCGCACCGTCAATCACCTGCCAGTCACAAGCGCACAGAGGGTGGGGGGGGTAGAATGACGGATGTGTAGGATCAATGATGACGAACGTTAATGTACAGGATCAGTAAGCCACTAATAATACATTTTTTTAAGCCAAGATATTCTCACTTCATCACAGGACTCTTCCTGGCATGTTTGCCAATTCTTTTGTGAGTGAATATTTGTTATTTATTTTGTGTGTATTGAAATAGGACTGCCCAGCAAAACCCAAGGTTGCATGGGGCTAACACTAAAATTCCACACGTATAAGAGTTTTATTTTGATTATTATGTTACGCATTTGTACAGGTGTGCACAAACATAACCGCAAAACTAGGGTGGCCTTTCGTTGTGACATGTGTTAACTGTAAAGAGAAATATGACGGAATTGTGGCCAATTATGCAGTCACAGGCATTTGCAATCTTATTCTAAAATAAATTATCGTAATGATTCACTGGGTGCAAGGAAAGATCGCGATTCAACTAAATTAATCAACCAGTTGAAGTCCGTGATAGAAACAAGACTCCAATGCCTTATCTACGACTCACACGCGATCCCTCACAGTATGATGGGTCGGTCAGTAATCGATCAAGACACCTGATACTGCAATTCCAGGAAGGGGCCCATGGTAGCAAGACTCACCTCATCTACTCATCACAACCAATCCCTCTCAGACTGATTATATTATTTGCTGATAAACTACAAGTAATCATAGTAATACAATCGATTATTAATCACCTGCTACTCCTCCATGAGAGACAAGACTCAACTCACCGTCTTATCGACTAATCATAACCGATCTCTCACGGTGTAATCGATGAGGGGTCCCGTCACCTGGTACTCCTCTTCCAGGGAAGGCCTCCGATTATGGCAGACGCAAGACTCACTCACGGTCTCATCTACTCATCAATAACCGATCTCTCAGGGTCTAATCGATGAGTAATCGATGAGGGGGTCCCATCACCTGGTATTCCTCTTCCAGGGAAGGCCTCCGATTATGGCAGACGCAAGACTCACTCACGGTCTCATCTACTCATCAATAACCGATCTCTCAGGGGTCTAATCGATGAGTAATCATTGAGGGGGTCCCATCACCTGGTACTCCTCTTCCAGGGAAGGCCTCCGATTATGCCAGACGCAAGACTCACTCACGGTCTCATCTACTCATCAATAACCGATATCTCAGGGTCTAATCGATGAGTAATCGATGAGGGGTCCCATCACCTGGTACTCCTCTTCCAGGGAAGGCCTCTAATTATGGCATACGCAAGACTCACTCACGGTCTCATCTACTCATCAATAACCGATCTCTCGGGGTCTAATCGATGAGTAATCGATTAGGGGGTTCCATCACCTGGTACTCCTCTTCCAGGGAAGGCCTCCGATTATGGCAGACGCAAGACTCAACTCACGGTCTCATCTACTCATCAATAACCGATATCTCAGGGTCTAATCGATGAGTAATCGATGAGGGGGTCCCATCACCTGGTACTCCTCTTCCAGGGAAGGCCTCTAATTATGGCAGACGCAAGACTCACTCAAGGTCTCATCTCATCAATAACGATCTCTCAGGGTCTAATCGATGAGTAATCGATGAGGGGGTTCCATCACTTGGTACTCCTTTTCCAGGGAAGGCCTTTAATTATGGCAGACGCAAGACTCACTCAAGGTCTCATCTACTCATCAATAACCGATCTCTCAGGATCTAATCGATGAGTAATCGATGAGGGGGTTCCATCACCTGGTACTCCTTTTCCAGGGAAGGCCTCTAATTATGGCAGACGCAAGACTCACGCACGGTCTCATCTACTCATCTCCTCATCAATAACCGATCTCTCAGGGGTCTAATCGATGAGTAATCGATGAGGGGGTCCCATCACCTGGTACTCCACCTCCATGGAGGCGCCCGTCGTGAGCGCCTGGTAGAAGCACTCCGTGCGGCCCGCGGGCAGCGTGAAGGTGAAGTCCCCGTCCAGGGACTGCGCGAAGCCGTTCGCTAGTGACGGCAGCAGGAGCAGCAGCAGCAGGAGGAGGTGATGATGGTGGTGGTGCGGCCACATCTCAAGAGTGTGGGGGGGTGGTGGTGGTAATAATATTAGTTGGTGATGGTGGTAGTGGGGGGTGGTGGTATTAGTTGGTGGTGGTGGAAGTGGTGGTATTAGTTGGTGGTAGTGGTGGGTGGTGGTGGTATTAGTTGGTGGTGGTGGAAGTGGTGGTATTAGTTGGTGGTAGTGGTGGGGGGTGGTGGTAGTGGTGGGTGGTATTAGTTGGTGGTGGTGGAAGTGGTGGTATTAGTTGGTGGTGGTAGTGGGGGGTGGTGGTTAGTTGGGGGTAGTGGTAGTGAGTGGTGGTAGTGAGTGGTGGTGGGGGGTGGTGGTGGTGGGTGAGGTGGGGTTGGTGAAAAGCGAAACAAACCACTGGGTCAGAGTGTCGAACCGAGTGAGACGTGAACACGCCGGCCACGACTGAAAGTCGTCAACAACTCATCGCCATTAAAAGTGGCGAGCGAAGGCGGCGAGGGGCGAGTGCGGAGGGAAGGGGCGCCGCAAACCAAACTCGTAAATAACAAACGCCCTGAGGGCAGCAATGACAGCAAACGCGCGAAGTCGTGCCACGCAAGCGTTGCCCTGCGGGCGTTTTGCACAACGAATTCCAAGGTGTTGGAGGAATTTCGATTCTTCGATTATCGGGATTAGTGAACACGAATCGATTCCAAGCCGCACAGCTGATGAGACCCCCCCCCCCTTCCGGAAATATCGAAACCTGTCGAGATTTCGCTTTGCTATCATCATAATTTTATGATGCAATTACGTGTACAGGTAGTCCTCTACTTACGATGGAGATGCGTTACGACGACCCCATCGTAAGTCGAAGATGGCCTAGGCTACCCAGGAGTCTTAAAGAATGGTGAATACTCATTGGTTCTTTCGGTAAAGTAACGTCGGTGAAAATAAAACGTTAAAATAATCGCTTGTCCCACCTGATGACGGAAGCTTGTGTTGCTTCTGAAACGTCGTGATTTAATTTAATTATTTCTATTCTTTTTTTATTCTTATTCTTGTTTTTATTTTCACCTACGTGGCTTTACCGAAAGAACCAAAGAGTATGGATCCTTGCAGTTACGAAAACTTCAAATTTAGAATGGTGATAATTTAGCAAAACAGAGCAATTTACAGTACCGTACTGTATAATTATTAATTACAATACTGTATTACACAGTAAAATGTAAAGTAAAAAACCCAACGTAAATACTTAGACTATGAACTGCAATTTAATAGAAAGTTTTTTCAGGAAACAATCCTTATCTGCTATTTAAAAAAACGTACAGTATCGTATCTCGTAACGCTGCTGCGTTTGCCTGCCGTGCGAAATTTAAAATATTTAACAATTTTGTCGTATCGATATCGCCATCGTAAGATCGAAATATCGTAAGTCGTAACTCGGGGACTATCTGTAATCATAACAACACCTTTATTTGCAGGGCACTTATAAGGCGGACTTTGCATCACAATCCAGCCACGTGGCAGCTGTCTCTGTGTGGCACAGGTGGGCATCCGTCTGCCAGCAGGGGGAGGGCGGTGTTACTTTGGATTTTTCCCCCAAATGTGTACTTTTTAGGAAATTCAGTCCTGTCCTCTCACGCGGTAGTAGTTGCGTTCCTGAAGAACACCGCGTGATGGGAAAATCGCGTTATCTATATATATAAAAGGAACATTTTTGAATATGTGTGTCTGTTCAAAATGTTTAGCGTACTTCTCGACATGCAACAAACTTGAAATTTGCCATGTGGGTACTTTTCAGACTGTACACCATGCAAAAATTATAAAAATAGACTTGTTTTTTTTGGGGGGGAGGGGGCGCAATTATGCATATATTTTGCACGGCAAGTGAGCTGTGACGTCACATCTGTGCTGTGACGTCACATCTGTCATGTGTTCTTAGGTTTTTTCGGTAAAGTCACGTAGGTAAAAACATCAAAATTAATGAAAATAAAATAAAACAAAAAATCACGACGTTTCGGAGGCAACACAACGTCGTGATTTTTTGTTTTATTTTATTTTCATTAATTTTGATGTTTTACCTACGTGACTTTACCGAAAAAACCTAAGAATATGATTCCTTGCAGTCACGAAAGCTTCAAATCTAGAATCTGTCATGTGACCCGTGTGCGGAAATGTAAAGGAGTGTGCCTGCGGATCGCGGGTAAAGTCAAATACAAATGTGTTGCAGGTCTAAGGCGTTCTTCGTGCAGCATTGGTTTATTATTTGAGTCGTTTACTGCCGTACGCACTCTGAAAGTTGTGTGTGTCTGCTGCAAGCGCATGGATGTGTTCCTATGGACGCGCGCGAGTGTGTGTGGGGGAAGCGGTAGTGTAGTGGTTAGCGCGCTGCGCTACAAAACCCGGCGACCCGAGTTCGATTCCCGCTCACGGCCAACACCGGTGACGATTATTTGAACCGGTCCTGGGCCTCCCCTAGGTCGACTCAGGTTCAAACGAGTATCTGGTGTAGTGTGTGTGAACATCGCCACTGGGGAGACAAAGGCAGCCGAGCGTGGTGAATCCAAGTCCCGGGCAAAGCCGGGTAGTAAAGCTAGTATATAATATAGGGGGTAAAGCACAATCCACGAAAACACGTGAGATGCGTACGCAGGCTGAACAAAGACTGAGGCGCCTGGGTATCATCCAGCAGCATCCCACTGCCTTGTGCGATGCCACGCTGAGGCAAGCGTACCACCGCTTATTGCTACTCGCGCGACGCGCGTCTGTTCACTCGATCGCGTTATATACAATTTGCATCCGCGTTATAACAAAAATGTGTTCCCTCACATTCATCGCACGACGTGCAATTCGCGTTAAGAAAACGCGCAGCCGTTATAGGAGAACAGACTACAGTATTTCAAATATTGATCGTGATGCCTGCACAGCGACCTACTCTTGCGAATGACGTCACATGACCTTTTAACATCCAATGTGAAGTGAGATTTTTAATCCCAAGTGTTCATCTCATGTCACAATGTCATTCCAAGCAGGCGCGTCATTGGTGGAGGGTGGGGGGGATTTCTCCTTCACGTTCAAAATGAGTGACTTTCAGACCGCAGTCCACTCACTGGCATTAAATGTGTATCTTGTGTTCTCCACAGGAAATGCATTATTTGCTCCGCTGCGGGTCTCCTGCCACCGTTCTCCCATTCACATGTTTCATTGCTTCGACATACTATTAACATGGCCTCCCTTTGTTAATGCTACCCCCCTCTCTTTGGTGCTGCTGATCCTGCATAATTCATGGGCATAATATGACTTTGACCCCCCCCCCCCGCCCACCTCCTACGCATTTCCCATGAATATGCTAAATTCCTCTTGATATGTACATTCTTTTGTTAAGGCGCTCTTCTTCCACCTCCAACTCAGCTTATATATAAGCTCCTAGCTTGGCAGTGTCTCATTCTTCACCTGAAGACGGCTGCTTGCATTGTAGCCGAAACGTCGTGAGAATTATTTTATTATGTTTAATTTTTATTATTTTATTACTTCCCTTCTACGTGACTTTACCGAAAAAACCAAGAAGAAGTTGGCATTCTAGATTTGAAGCTTTCGTGACTGCAAGGATTCATATTCTTAGGTTTTTTCGGTAAAGTCACGTAGGTAAAACATCAAAATTAATGAAAATAAAATAAAAAATCACGACGTTTCGGAGGCAACACAAGTCTCCGTCATCAGGTGGGACCGTCACAGCCGGATTAGCTGCATCAAGTGAGGCAATGATTCAAGATGTAATCCCTTAAAAGCAAGTTGAGGAGGGAGGAGAGGGGGGGGGAGCTCATCAGAATGTGGTAGCCAATGAATGGAACGTATCGGGAGGGAGGGGGGCGGGGCTCAAAGAAGGCACGGAGTGCCAAGTACAACACATCGGGAGGGGGAGGGGGGCGGGGCCTAAAGAATGGACGACGGCTTGGACGCGGTTGCTGCTGCACACGCCAACGCATTGGACAGAGAGGGGGAGGGGAGGCCTGATACACATGATAGAAGAAAGAACGAAAATGCCCATGTTTATACCAATGCTGGCTGAACAATGAAGAGAGTACTGTTAAACACTGGGGATGTTAACACTCGGTAAAGTAAAGTAAAATAGTGCCTGTCAGATAAGATGGTCCAAAAAAGTGTAATTAAGTCTTTTTTGCGTGGTTGATAACATCTTTCCAATGATTACTAAGTTTGTACCCATCATCACGGTTGAAATTATGTCTGTGTTTGTATATTTGTATGGCTTCGTGTACAAACCTTTGATGGTAGCCGGGAGGTTTGCAGAGAACCTTGGTCTCGGAAAAGACAATTTCATGAGAGCCCACCGAGTTGTAGCAATGATCGGCAATGGCAGAAGAATCAGTTCTGCCGTGTTTCAGATCTGACTTGTGCTCGCGGACACGATCAGAAACATGACGTTTCGTTTCTCCAATGTAGCAATCACCACAAATGCAACTCAATTTGTAGACTCCAGGATACTGTAAGTCAGGAACGACATCCTTCACAGATGGAATCAGATCACGGATTTTATGCACTGTACTGAATCGGACTTGGATCTTATGTTTGTTTAGAATTTTGGAGATCTTTTTGGTCACGCCTGCTATTTATGGTAACGTGATAGTTTTGGTCGGAGTTTCATGTGGCTGTTTCTGTGTGGTGGGAGAAACAGCTTGGCGGATAGTACGGTCAGAGTATCCGTTCATCCTGAGGGCCCGATGTACATGTCTTAATTTACCGGTCAGGTGGTGTTTGTCAGAAATGCCATGGGCTCTGTGGTATAGCGTTTTGATGAGAGAATTCTTTTGAGATGGGTGGTGGTGGGAATCCGGTTTCAAGTAGGAATCTGTGTGGGTGGCTTTCCTGTAGACAGAATGTCCCAAGGATCCGTCAGGCCTCCTCTCAAACAGAATATCCAAGAATGGTAGTTTACCGTCTTTCTCCACTTCCATGGTGAATCTGATGGATGGGTGTCTAGAATTGATGTGGTCCAAGAAGTGGTTCAATACTGGGAGGCCATGTGGCCAGATGACGAAGGTATGTGGATGACACTTTGCCTCCGAAACGTCGTGATTTTTTATTTTATTTTCATTAATTTTGATGTTTTACCTACGTGACTTTACCGAAAAAACCTAAGAATAAGAAGTTGGCAGATATTACAATGATAATGTTTGTGTGCACAAAACTACATTTTAATTATTAGGTTGCTAAATATTTCCTTTTTTGACTGTGTTTTTATGACGCTGAGACGGTGTACTGCCAGTCTGCTGTGACCTGCTGCTTGCTGATTAATTAACGTCAGTGCACTGACACTAATATCTACACTGCTAATTTTGCTTTTGCCCATTGTGAGTGTATGCCAGTCTATAATCTGTTGCCTGCTTCTTTACCTCACTCAGTGTACTGCCAGCCTTTCATGTCAACTGTTTCCTGCTTTTTCAGCTGCTGACCGTATTGCCAGCTTTGCATGTCGACTGTAACAATGCTTATGTCATTGAGTCGGCGTACTGGCAG